TTACTAATAATTTTCTTAATTAAAACTTTAGAATAACTTTATTTTAATATATCATTATAAAAATTAAAAAAAAAATTATATTTGATTTGATTTGATTTGATTTGATTCGATCAAATATTTGATTTGATTTGATTTATTTGATAAATATTTGATTCAATTTGATTTGATTCGATCAAATTCAAATCAATTCAAATTGATTTGATCAAATATTTGAGTTTGATTTGATTTGATTTGATTTGATTTGAAATAATCAAATCAAATTCAAATTGCTTAAATATTTAATTTGATTTGATTTTGAGGAACCCTACTCTTAAATGCTTCTGCGACTTCTTCACTACTTTTTGATGTTAAGAAAACAAAATCTTTGAATCTAATCACGCAGTCTATAACTAATAACACATAGTAAAATATTGTGCCATCATCTAGTAAATTTGTATCTATATCATCATATGGTATTTCGATCAAATCACATTAGTACACAGTATTAGGTTTCATAATTTTAGAGTAGCTGCTATAAGGTATATATAGTATTTCGATCAAATCACATTGGTGCACAGTATTAGGTTTTGTAATTTTAGAGTAGCTAGCATAAGGTATATATTTCAGTGAAGGGCAAAAAATCTGATATATCGCCTGCTTATTAAGCCATTTTTTTACATTAGTAAATGAAAGCTATAGCTAGCTTTTTTACAAGCGTCCCATAATTCCTTAGTATTTGATAAAGACCTTCAGGATGATAATATAGTTTTTGCAAGGCAAGATGTTGGTCTAAATCATGAGCTTTTTGAGAATCAATATTAATTGTAGGTATTTGTTTTGCTATGAGTTGGTCTAAGTCTCAAGCTTTCTGAGAATCGATATAAATTACTGGTTCTCTCATTCCAACTTTTTTATAATTACGAAAAAAAGTTAGTATTTATGAAGCCAGATTCTATTCATTAGGTGAGGCATTCTTTTCCTTGCGCTTCTGCCTAGCCTTTATGGAGTGTCAAACCTTAGGACACGTGATGATAATTATTACATATAACGTCAGAACGTATATATATATAGGTAGTGTATTTACGCCTTATCTCCTTATCTGTTATCTCCAAAGTATTACCAAGATGCGCAAAATATTGCCAAAAATACCAAAAGTACCAAAAATAAAATTTCCCGGAAAGAGAAAAACTTTAGGTAGGCTTTATTGTGTTTAGAAACATACCGCATTTCGGAATGTTAACATTCCGAACCCATTTATAAGTGTTAAAGGTGTCGAAATGTCGATCAGCCCATCTGAAATTAATGCTGTTTCTGGTTCGTAATTTCGTATATGGCTATTTGTACTCTTTATTATTTTCTAATTTCTTGTATACATCTGAAGAGCCTGCTCTCGAAAAAGAGTTTGCCAAGTACCTGAGTTTGAAGGACTCATCTGATCTCAAGGATGAGAAACAAAACACAGCTTCAGAAACTAAATCCGAAGCGGTTGTTGATACGGAATTTACTTCAAATCCGGTAACAAATAATGAAGTTGCTGAAGGTGATCTCAGAATGTTTGCAGAAGGACTAGGAATCAACAAATTTACGGAAAATAAAGAGGATTGGAAAAAATTTTACGGTACATAATAAGTCTGATCCAGCTTGATTGCATTTTTACTAATATATCCTTTGTTTAGTCTTCTCTGGCTCAGATTTCGCTTGGCCTGACACAATGAAAGTCGGTGAGTGTCGCGAGGTCTTTGACTATATTGTTCGTCCCGAGTGGGAACCAATTGGAGAAGAACTGGCAAGAAATACAATTGAATATCGTCGTCTACTCGGATCTGATGCTCTTGACGAATCGCAAGGATCGCACATTTTACTCATTAATGGGAAATTAGTTGAGTATGGAAAAGAGATATCTTTGGAAGAAGATGATGAACTCGGGAAAAAATTTCCAGGGTGTTTGTATGTACCCGTTGTTGAACGGTTTGTTGAATTGCGCAGATCCTTAGCTAGGGATGATCAAAGAAGGAAAGAGTGGCAGGTTTGTATTATTTACAATTTATGATAATAAGGTTATTGTCAGGTATAATCCGAAACTTTATAATGATATCTGTCAATGAGGATTGCTTTGCCAAATATAGTCTCATATTTGCATTCGAAATGTATTAAACGCAAGAGATGAGGTGAGAATGGCAAATATGGAACAAGATTTCCGAATGGTAATTGATACTGGTGCCACGATGACGGTAATTCCGTACTTCGTAAGACAACGATTGTATAATCCTAAAGATGGTTGGAAGAGAGGTTCTATTTACCCTGCTGGATATGGCAATGGAGCGAAAGTTACTCAAGTTTCAAGAGATTGGTTGGTATGTTTAGGAGACGGGACCAATTGGTTCCAACTGGGTTAGGACGAGAGAAATATATTCCTGGCAAAACAATCCCCCTAATGTCAACTGTGGTTTGATTGGCTACGATGTTCTAAACGATATTCCGCATTACAAACCCTACAGGCAATCCTATATATTTCTTAAAAATGATATTTTCAACCAAATTCCACAATTACTAGGATCGGAATGAATATTTTTTCTTTTAAATGAGAATTTATATAGCAAAATTTAATCAGCAAAAACTGATCTGGATTTTACATGAATAATGGTGCAGTATATGTATTCATATTAAAATTAAATAAAATTTTAGCTCATAATTTCTATGGTGTGGTGCGGGGTGTGTATATATCGGAAAATAAAAAAATGTGTATGTAATGATCGATCATGGAGCATTTAAAGTTTTAAGTTTATTCAATGAGACCCAATTCACGAAGATGCTCCAGAATAATTACATATGGGTCTTCATAATACCAAACATACCTCAAGGCAATCCGATTCTTTTCGCATAATTCTTTCTTGAGTTGATCTCGTGCTTGCTGTTTGATAAAATTATTGGGATCGCCATTATGAAAGAATTTGATGTATTTTTCGTGTTGCTCTCCTTGCACTTCAATCGCAAAACTATATTCTGGGTAATATATATCAAGTTCTAATCCTTTAGGGTGTTCAGGAATTTTCAAGAAATCTGGTCTGCGATTTTCAGATGGTGGACCAAGATACTTTGTTACAATTTCTCGACATAATTGTTCGCGTTTATATTTATAACAAAATGGACACCAGGTACCACTTTTCACATTACCAAGAGATGCTTGCCATAAATGGCCTTCTTTGCAACACCATAATAGTGGCAATTGATTATTTTTATACTTGGTTGAAAGGCATTGCCCGTGCCTAGTTAATGCAATTTGCTTCGCATCCTTAAGAGTTAATTTCATACTACCTGCACAATACGGACACCAACTTCCTTGTTGAATACTATTGGGAACAGCTTCCCATCTATGTTTATTCTCACAAATCCATTCTAGCTTGGCACGCGAGTTATAGTATCGATCTGAAAGGCAATCTCCATTTTTTTCTTGTGCGAGTTTACGCATATCTTCAATTGTTTGATAACGACCAATGCAAAATGGACACCATTGCTCTCTATTTTTAATGTGGTAAAGTGTGTTTTGCCATTGATGGTTAAATTGGCAACGCCATGTAAGCGGTTCATCTATATTTTTATACTCAATCGAAAGACATTCACCGCCTCTAGATCGTGCAATTTGCTTTGCATCCTCAAGGGTTAGTTTCGCAATACCCGCACAATATGGGCACCATGAACCAGAATTTTTAACGTGATTAAACGAACTATTCCAAATATGACCTTGATGGCATTTCCATGTCATCGGAGTTTTGGAATTACTATATGCAGTTGAAAGACACTTACCATTTCGGCTAAGTGCAATTTGCTTGGCGTCTTCAAGAGTAAGACGGGCATTCCTGCACAATATGGACACCATTTACCATGATCTTTTACATTGCTAAGAGATGCATACCACAAATGACCTTTAATGCAACTCCATAGTAATGGCAATCGATTATTAATGTACTTTTCTGAAATACATTGACCACTTTTTAATAGCGCAATTTGTTTAGCAACCTCAAGAGTAAGTTTTACTTTACCTGCACATTGCGGACACCATTGTCCTAAATTTTTAATTCTAGAAAGTGGAGCATTCCATACATGGTTCTTAGAACAGCGCCACATTAATGGAGTTCTGTTATCTTTATATTCAGTTGAAAGACACATTCCATTACGTTCCTTAGCAATTATACATACATCATTTAATGATAGCTTTTTCATTGTTTTTTTGTCGTAGCTGAATCTCTTTTTGCAGATCTAATGGAGTATTGAATCTTAATCTAATTGCATGTGGATCATCTTTTGGCTTGTTTAAATCAAACACAATAAATTCCCCCTTGCAAAGATATTTGTTAATAACCATTGAAGCATTTTTAACATCATCAGTATATTGCTGAAGAATTTTAGAAATCTCTTTACATGAACTACTAGAGTTAAACATCACTAGATGGGAGATATTTTCACGAATAATAATAGGAACTTTATGATAGCTTTGAGTTACATAAATTGGAGAAATATTTCGATAGCGCCCATGTGTAAAAAATGGAATGATTCGATTTTGGATGGACTCGGGAGCTATACATAAATCCTCAAAGATGATTACGGTACTCCTCTCTGATAAAAAGGATTTTATGTTAGGGATTCTTTCTGGTGATATGTAGCTGAATCTGATATTTTCGTAATAAGGCGCTTTAGGATTACTTGCAATCAATCCATACATGTATCTAACAAATGCCCATTTTGATTCATCAGGATAGTAACCACAAATTATCAGATCATCACACCTTATATATCTGGATCCCCCCTCCTGTCCTTTATGTATATGTTCGCTCTTATTTCCAAGAATAAGATTTTCAAGTAAATTAGTCTTACCTGTACCACTTCTCCCTATAACCAGCTTAGCAAATGTCCATGACATTGCTAGATGCCCAACATTTTGGGATGATTCATGCTTTGTGGCCTCATTCATATCCATAAGGTAAAGTTTCATAGGAGGTAGTCCTGTCTTTTGGTTCTTCTGCATATCGAATTAGGAATGTATAACCTTGATTTCTATTTAAGGGTATTTTATAATTCGGAAGAATTTTTTCTTCATTGTAAGGTGAAATAAAAGAATATAGATGAGAGAAGATGAACTATAGGAAGTATATGATTAGTAATAGTATTATAAGAAAGATCGCAAGCTGAAAAAAGAAAGAACTAAATTTCTCATTACTAATCAAAGTTTTACCAGATCCTGACATAATAATGGGTGATATTGTGAGGTGATTACTATCATCTGAGAGGTTACTTTGTAATCACGCCCCTCCAATCACTTCAGACTCGCTGGATGTTTTTGGGATCTGCTTGGCTAAACGAGTATTATTTAGGACCGCTTCTTGAAGAAGGATGTCTTTCTCTATTAATGCCTTTTGCGTTATGGCTAAATTATCATTTATCTGCACCAATTCATCCTTTTTTGATTAGTATGACTTTTAAATCTCATTTCTCTAAATCTAGATCAATATTTTTAGTAAATAGTTTTGTATTTCTCAGTTCCTATTTACGTCTAAGAGATTCCATTTTTGATAACTTCTCCCATGTTAAAGAAAGATCCCGCTCTAATTCCTCTGCCCTAGATTAAAGAGCCTGTCCTGTATCTCTTCCTTCATCTTGAATTGGGGGCTTGCATCTCCTCTGATTTTATAGAGAATTTGCTTTCAGCATCTGCAAAAGAAATATCCTTGCGGGTAATCTGAAGCATAAGCTCATTTTTTTCTGAATGCAATTGTTTTATCTCGTTTATAAGCTTAGGATCGTTTATTTTTGATTGTAAGCATATTATCTCTTCTTCAAGTTGATGCATCCGATTGGAAAGTTTCTCATTTTCTTTCCTAGATCTATTTGTCATTCTGTATATGCTTATTTTCTTTTTTTGATTGATTTAGAGAATCCTGTATGCACTTATTTTCTCTATCTAAGGAATCATAGCTATTCGCAAACTGGCTTCCCCAATATATAGTAACTTCACGGTCTTTTTTTACACAAGAAAGCTTCTCTTCAAGCTCTGTTCGACTAGAAGGGCTGGAGTATCTCCAAGTTTATTACTATTATCCAGATCTTTTAAGGTACGGATCTGGGGCATTTTATTGGTATTTTTTTTACTTCAGGCAAAAAAAATCAGCCAGAACCTTGAACTATGATGATTATTAGCGAATCTAATGCCTATTGATACACATTAGTGGATACTGAAATATATTAATAAACATTGAAAAGCATTAATATATATTAGTAAGCATTGAAAACATATTAATACATATTGAAAAGCATTGATATATACTGAAAAATATTAATACATATTGAAAAAGTATTGATACGCATAAATTGATGCACATTGATATTCTATTGAAAAGCATTAATATTTTTTTTCTAATATAAAATCTAGTGAAGATGGTAGTCCAAATTCATGATACATTTTATGATGCTAAGGCAACCCTATTATCAGATAATAATATCAAGAAAATTAGAGAATCTAGAGGTAGGATATCCAATGTATCAAAAAAAATGGCTGATAAATTTCATATTGGTCCTAAGCGTGTTTATGAAATATGGGATAATAAAGAGCGCCTCCAACAAGAAATTATTTTATCTTCTTCTGATCAGACAAGACAGACTCTTGAAGCAGTATCAGAAGTATCATCTATACCCCTTCTAGCTACAGAGATTTCAAAAAAGAATGGTTGAAAAAAAAAGGTTAAAATAGATGAGAAGCTGGTTACTGAAGCAAGCAGTATGGGGGAAAATAACAAAAATGATGTGGTCTCTTCTGCTGATAAATTGTCTGATACATTTCGAGAAGACAGGTTGGATTCTCTTCTTAAAAATCTAGTTAATAGTGATGAAAAGCTTAAGGGTTTAACAGCTAATACCACTCCTTCTTATATAAGGATTCATATGTATCAGCAAGAAATTTACTGATACTTAAGGCCAAATAGAGCATTTTTTCAGTCTTTATAAGGTGCTTATCAAGCTCTTCACATTTTTTTTTAAGTTCTTCTCACTATTTGGGCTAGAGAAGTTAGTAGATACTTGAGAAACATCTCCAGGTGATGAATCTTGCTCATCTTTTGGCGGATCCTTGATTACTTGAAGCCTTGCTAAAGGTTGGAATAATATATGCCTTTTCATGATCCTCTATGCGGAACTGATTTTAGTTGGATCAGAAATGCCTTTGACTTTTCGAATTCCTGTTGTACCTAGCCATAGCATTAGATTGGGCTCACTATTTTCAACACAAGCATTATTTCCAACAATAGTGATGATTGGATTCCCTTCCATATCCTTTAGAGTGATCGCTACATTTGTATACCAATCTAGTGCTTCAGAGATATATTCAGAATTACCTTTTATAGTGAATTTGGAAGACTTATCAACTTTCCATCCAAGCGCTTCAGCAGTAGCTAAATTAAATTCATTGAATTCACTTACATTATCTAAAAAAGATTCAGAGATTGATAAGCCATTTATACTAGCATTTAGATATTGTAGGGACGAAAACCACTCATCTTTCTTTGATTTCTCTTCTGAGCTTTACGTGTCGAATACATCTTCCACATTGCCGGTGAAAGTTTTGGCAACAGCTCATCATATGTTTTGGGTTGGCTATATTCTGAGAGCAACTTGTTATTTACTAGCGACTGTTTTTTTTTCCAGTGCATAATACTACTCATTATCTGCTTTATCATAACTATCTTCCTCATTATCATCATCATCTGAATTGGGAAATGAGTGTTGGGACTGTATAGATAGAAGTTGGGGATAATAATACTGAGTAAAATTGGATTTAGCTACAGGATTTAACTTGTGACAACTATTTTTCTTATGCCCTTCTTGTCCATAATTACTGCAATAAAAAGGCTTTCGAGATTGATCATTAAGTGATATCCTATCAAACTTAGATGTTATCTGACCAATTTCATCTATTTTTGATTCTAATCTATCGATTCTGAATGATTGCAACTTTTCTGGCTTTTGCAGTTTAGGAGGTGGCCCATAAGCTTTTGCAATCACTCTCATTATTTCTTCCCTAGTAAGTGTATCAGGAAAAGGATTAACGCTTTTATATGTATCAAGAAGCTGTTCCATATTTTAGGTGAAATTAGTGAAGAAGTTTTCTTGTTTTGTTAGGCCATCTGTACTTGAAATTCGTTTTTCTGCTTTTCTAATAAAGACTGGTATTCAGTTTTTTGTTGTGCTAATGCTTCTTGAAACATCTTTTGAATATCATCTTTAGTAAAAGCTGGTTGAGAAACTGGGATAACTTGTGGTAAAGAATATGATACTGGATTTATACTAGGTAAGGCTTGCATTTGATTGGCAATTTGACTTGATTTCTTTGAAATTCTTCCACTTAAATTTTGTTTATGCTCTAGCCACATATTTTTTAGTTCTGTAAAAAATGCATTAATTCCTCCTGGATTAGCGATTCTCATCTAAGTATAAAAATCACCAGTCAAATGGCTTTTAAGAAATCCCAAAACTTGCATATCATTATCTGCTACTCCCAATAATAGTGGTCGAATTCTAGCTTCATAGGTATCGGAAATATTATAGGACTGATATCTTTCTTGTGTCAATCTTTGAATAGCTGATTGCTGATTTCCAACAGTTTCTCGCTGATATTTTGCTCTCAACTAAGCCCGTAATGTATCTGGAGCATTTATAGGTGAATTTTCTGCTACAAGACCATTATTTGCTAGTACTGGAGTACCATCATAGATTTTAAAATATTACACTTAACTGCATTGTCAAAATCTCCCGTATTTGCGTTCTCAAGAACTGTCATATGCCCTTCAAGATATGCCCATGACTGAATGACTTTATCTAAGTAATCATCAGGTGGTTCTTGACCTATTTAAGGTTGAAATTTTGCAAGAGCAGGAGCCATTAATTTTAATACTGGTAAACGTCTACCTTCAGTTATATTTAGAGGATTATTCTATAGCGCTAAAATTTACCCTTATAAATTTAAAATATTCTGGCGAGAATTTTTTCTTTAGCCTTCCATTTCTCATATCGCTCATAGAGCCTGTCTTGATTATATTCTAAAAGACCTATATCTCTTCTACATCATTGCAGGTGGTAGGCATTTCGCTGATACAGTAATTATAAGGCAAATTTTTCTTGTATCAGTTCCCCTATACGGGTTTGTTCTCTTGTCATCCTATCTAACATTCTATTAACCTAATTTCAGCCATTAGTTTGCAACTGATGAAGATCACCAATAGCTCTTTGTTCTATCCCTTCAGCAAGTTGCCTTCGTATAATTTCATTATCACGTTCAGCTTCTGCATCATATTGCCTTTTCTGTTCCCGAATTAAATCCTGATGCAAATTATTCTCTTTTCAGTGAATCTGCCTTGTTGCTCTCTTAATTTGATCTATCAAAATATCTCTAGCCATTACCCTATTATCTAGATAACCATCTATAGCATTTGCTAGCTCTATGATTGTAGCCATGTTATCATCAGAATTATACAAGTCTGAAGAATTCCCTCGTTCAGGTGTATTTTTTCGTGATGAGATAGTCTTAATCTGGTATCGCAATTTCTCAACTTGCTCTTCAGATTCTTCCAAGCGCCTTTCTAAATCAAAGATATAGTTTTCCTTATCTCGTATATTCTTCTTAGCTTGATATAATTGACTTTTTAGGCTGGAGATTTCAGACTTTAACTCTACTATCTCTTCTTTCGAAGCATTCCCAAGACGCTCTATCTCCCCATTAAGTGTCTGGATTTCTTGTACACAGCGATCATAATCACATTTCAGATCCCTAATCTGTTTCTCATTACAACAATTAGTATTAACTTCTGTTTGTAATTCACTACGAAGATGATAGTTCTCCTCCTTCAGCTCAGCTTTATATTCTTCACATGTTCTTTTTTGCCTTGGATGGGACCTCTGAAATGCCATTCTTTTTTGTGATTATAGATTTTCGAATGATAGATCTCATAATAGGATATGCTTTGTGAAGCACCCGACTAACATTTTTTCGAATTTATGAGAAAAAAACGCTTATCTTCCAATTTCGCAATTCTGGTCTTAAGCTCAACATTCTCAACCCTAATTTTATCATTCTCAACCTCAAGCTTGGCAATGTATTGTTTCAATGAATCAGCTAATCTGGAATCATCTATTTCGGATTGCATTCTAGCGTAATGTAATATTGGTATGTTAATATTCAAAATATATCACATATTTTTAGGCGATGGGCCGTCGCTAAAATTTGCCAAGAAAATTTTTATTATATAGTACACTTGCTTTATTAATAATATAACTTAATAAAAATTACATGTATGAAAGCTCTATTCTATAAATTTTTGGGGGTTGAAACAGTTACTACCATTTCACTAGAACTATGCTTACTATTCTCAGAGTCAGAACTGTATAATATCTTGTGAATCATATATGCGACGACCGTTCTCAGAGTCATCAATGCATATATAAGCAGGTATACAGCACTTGGGAAAGTCATATGCAATGGGATTGTTGCTTCCTCTATTAGGCAGTACTTGTAAATACTCGATTCTTTTCATATAGCATAAAGTTCTATAACATCGCCTATAATAAAAATAATATGATTAATTATTATTTGTTTATAGTATAAGAGTGGGAGTATATAAAGTAAAAATACCTGCAATATTAATAGCAAATATGATCAAATCCTGTCTCTTACAGCTAATTTCATAATTCGTGGACCACTAATAAATTGCGACTGAATGCGACTGAAAATATTTTATAATAAAATTACTATAAAATATTGCGACTGAATGCGACTGAAAAATTATTAATGGTTCATGAATTATGAAATTAGCTGTAAACGATTGATTAAATATTCTTTTAAGCTTCGAAATAATCCTAGTAGTATCAATAGAATCCTTGGAAAATTGAATTAATTTTTTATGATCTCGCTATCGCTTATCTTGGCTAGAATTTGGTCTACCAGTTTCAAGATATACTATTTCAAGTTCCACATCTTTTTCCAATTGTACTATAGTCATATAATCAGGCTTATGAGCAAACTTGTGAAATCCTTTTTGTATAGTACTAGCTGAACTTCCCTCTTCACCCCTATTTAGGAAAATTATTAGGTGCGAAAAAAAAGCGTGACAGAAGAAGAACATTTTATGATTAATACTAGAGATAATACTTACCATATGTTTCATACAGCAGGGTTTCCAGGTAAATCACTCATTACTATATTTATTAATGATGCAAGTACTTCGCAGAAGTATGATCCTTCATTAATCAGTTTTCTTTCTTTGTATAGGCTTCATACTTAGGCGATTTCCAAACTTTAAGCCTACAAAGATCCCACCTATTCATATTATTCACAAGTAGTGGTAAGCTAACATATATAAGAAGGTAGGATGAATAAATAATAAACTTACAAAGATTCTAGAATTTGTCTTGTTTTTTCTTAAAGCCTTTCAGAACTATCTAGCCATTTCCCAAATTCGACATCACGTAAATCCTCATCTTCATTAATCTTTAATTCTTCATTCTGGATAAATTTTTCACAAGTGTCTAATATATTATGATTCTGTTTCAACTTATATTTTTGAAATAGTTCCTTAAAAATATTGCAAAATGACCCAAGAATGTTTATGAAAGGTTCTGATTTAACATCTAGAACACCTGAACAAATCGGATGGTCGAATCCAAGATTTTCTACATTTATATTATTAAGTTCCACTTCTATCCTCTCTCACATGGTTTTTTCATAACTCACGCTCCCATTCACACATTGTCTAATGTCACGTTTCAAGGACCGTAAATTTGCATTTACGTCTTCATGCTAAGCTTCAGTATCAATTACTAATGCTTTCATTTTAAAAAGAGAGCATAAGTCTTCAAACGCAGTCGAAACCTAAAAATATTATTAAAAAATTAGTTCATCAAGATTTACTTGATAATCACACTAGATTTCATATCATAGGATCAGATTAGGTTTCCATTTCACATAAACTATCAATTGTTGGCAGAATATCTTATATAATAATATGTATGTAACTAGCTACTGCTGTATGGAAAGTAATAATATTACAACAGACACAGCGCATTCACTAATATATACATGTTAGAAAACCTAAAAAACATATCATCATATCCATATATCCATCATGAAAATAATTATCATCTTACCCGTTTCGCTAGTTTTTTCCCAGTACCAAAACTTTGAAGTTTCTTTTTTCACTCAATATCATCTAAAGGGTTTGTTTCAAAACTTACTCTAATACATTCATGAAGTTCTCCACCTCCTTTTCAAGAACGCCTGACCATTCACCTTGTTCTACTCATGTATATAATGCTGTGGATATTCTGACAATATCGAGGGGTTCTCTGGTTAAAAGAAAACTCTTCCATGTTTTAATATAATAAGAAGTTATACAGAGGGCTGCTAAAAGTCTCCGAACACTTTTTGGCTCATTAAAAAACTTAAAATTTTATAATATAAATAAAAAAGTTTATTAATATTTTTATTAAAATAAGATATTCGCTAAGTTTTGTACTAAGTAACTAATACTTAGTTGGGCTACCCTTTGCTTTAATCACAGCTTGAATTCGCTGTGGCATACTATCAACTAAATTTTCGATAGTTTGTATTGGAATTTTCTTTATGCCTTGTTAACATGTCGTTCGAATTCAGCAATATTGGAAGGCATATTTTTCCTTCCATGAATGCTTTTCTTAACATCTGCCCACAGGTTTTCAATCAGATTGAGGTCTGGACTTTGAGCTGACCAAGAAAGTTTATGCAAGCCATTTTCTGTATGAAATTTCTTTGCAACTTTTGATGTGTGTGGATGAGCGTTATCCTTCTGGAACCAACCATCACCATTTGGAAATACACGCCTCATGGTTCGCATGACAAACCTTTGAAGGATAGTAAATGTGAGGCACCAGTTGCTGTTCCAAATAATGGAACAATAGGTCCTACACCTTGTCTTGAAAAGCATCCCCAAAACATTCAACTTGGGCTATACTTTACTGTTGCAGAAACACAGGAAATGTTGTATTCTTCACTAGGCTCTCGCTAAACTCTACTGCACTGAGATTGTTGAAATTGAAAAAAGGTCGACTCGTTACTCCACAGAACTTTCGACCAATCATCCTTTGTCTAACTTTGATGTTCTAAGCATCATGTAAGACGTGCCTCCATATTTACTGATGAGATTAGAGGTTTGCGTCGAGTAATACGATTATTTAATCCAACAATACAAAGTGCACGGCCAATAGTACAAGTTGAAATAACTTGGCCAGTCTTTTTATTCCAGAATTGTTGAATTTCTGGAATACATAAGCGATGGTTTTTTCCATTATTATTTGTTACAAATTTCTTAAGCTGGTTTTGTTGTAAAGGTTCAAGAAGGGATGGTCGACCAGAGTGAGGCCTCGAATTAGTTGTTCCGGTGTCATCCATTCTTTTCAAAGTGTCAAATACTGTTGACATACCACATCTGACTGTCGTGACAATAGTTCAGTAACTATCACCACGTTGATGGCAAAAAATATAGCGCTGCATTATTCTGCAGTTAATTCTTTAGACATTATTTAGGTATTTTTGGGATTAAAGTTTATTTTGATTCAAAATCAAAATAAACAAACTGGACACGCATTTATTAGGTTTGATTCATGTAAATAAGGTCCGAAACATCATATGACTGCAGAATTATTAAGTCACATGATGTTAACGGTATGAAATTACACCTAAAAAATAGTGTTCAGAGACTTTTGCCAGCCCTCTGTATATTAGTGAAAAGCCTGCTAAGTGAAGTAAAAATATTGTAAATTTCAATACCTTTTCATCATACTGCCATTATAAATGTATTGTAATTTTTCCATTCACCTTCTCTGAACCCGAGATTATGTTAGGGTCAAAACATAAGAATATGCTAGGCACTTTACGCCAAAATTTTGTGTTAGAGAATAAGGGCATGTGGAATATGCATTGAAGGTCTCAACATTTACAAAGGCGCTGGGGATAATGCATATACATACTTTTTTTTCTTTATTTCATTTACTCGACCGCTCAGTAATAAAGACCTAGTAAAACATCATATAAATATACTCCTGTCGAAATCTAGTAAGAATAGCCTGTAGTCCAGAAGGAAATAAACTCATAAATAAATACTATTCAGATAGATAGGAAAAAAATTTGAAATATTTTGGAGGATCGATTTATGTATGAAATTATTTTGTCGCACAAGTATAGTTTCACAGATGATTTGTGGACTATTACCTATTACATCATATATACTTTAACGAGGATCGAAAACGTGCTAATTTATGTTGTATATGCCTACATGATATACTGTATTATGTTAATAAAGAATTTATGGCTTGGAAAACTCATTGCACATATTTACCATTATTGTTAAAATTTGAGAAATCTATAATAGTTAAGTTTCCATCGATAGTACTAATATAGCAAGATTTGAACATGTCAATTTCTAGCGAATTACATGAATATAGTTTTCCTTTCTTTTTATATTTATATCGCGCATATTCTGAAATTTTAACAAAGTTTACATAAATGTTGATGTTGTTTTTAGTAGTATGATAATGTTTAGGATTTGCTAGATATTTTAGAATAATAGTCCAATCACTATAACCAACAAATCTATATCTTGCTGATACAATTTTATAAAAGTAACTATATATGCTACAGTAGTTAGACGAATATATAACTGGTCTTTTTTCTTTTCTGCCCAGATATGTGGAGTATAATGATAATACAAACCACGCAAACTAGGTTTATTCTGATGATATGCAGGTACATCTCTGGCTAGAATTCTTTGATCAAAATAGTTTACATATTGATCATCAGGAATTCTTATAGCATGAGGAGTTATACCTAAATACTTCTTCTCTTCAGGAGTATTATCATTTCTTACCATATTCCAAACTCA